AGGACAGTAAGATATCCTTCTCCATTACTCCCATTCGCATGTAGAGGAGATAAAGCATAAGCAAACGTACTTACTTTTGCAATTTTAATATTAGTTGGGATGTTGTTTATAGGTAGATACATAAATAGAATTAATTTACACATGGTGTTGTAGTTTTGCGAGTTGTAACTGACAAATTAATTGCGATGTTTTTAAACATCCTGTTTTTGTAATAGAGTTCATTATTGAGGTTTTTATATAATGGTGTTGTTGAAGTGGGGTTTAGATTTAAGTTCAGTTCCGGGTCACTCAGTTTCGTTTAGAATTATTGCTGTCTGATAGTAAAATATGGAAATAAGAATAATGGTAAATATTTTACCGTACCTTTACGAAACCGTTGTATAGGTTATGTTTGGTTATAATAAGTAGCCTTTTAGTAACCACGTTATCTATTCAAAATCTTTAGCCGGCTTACCTTCGTGCAATTACATACCTAAATACTTGGAAAGACTGCATAAATTCCAATGCAATAACAATTACGAGCGCCATGGTACCTGACTAATAAATTACCGTGAAAGTATAGCATGATGACGTCACAACTAACAACGAATTAGGAAGGTATGTGGGACAATAATCGCGTGACCCCGTTTGCGCGGGAAATGTTTGAAAAAGGAATATAATGTTGCTCTATGGTTCCTTGAGAATTCGGTAAAAAGGGATGGCTGGAAAGACGTCGTGACGAATAAATGAAATTCGAAGACGTCTCGTGCTGGCTGGAATGCGTGATTGGTGCATAGCAGCCAATGTTTTTAATTTTATTTGGGGTTTTAGTTTTCCTTACATTTTTCATTGTTTAATATTCCCTGTGCATTCGTTTTTAGAACTCGACTTAACGGATAAAAGACATCACCATAGTCAACACAATGAGACTTGTATAAGTATAAGAAAATCGTGTTTAATAATACAGATCTATTATTGGTAGCAAATAAACAGCCTTATGATATTATATTAACAACGAAAGCTTAGTAAATAGTAACCTTATCAAACCTATATTGAAACATATAATTATGTTTTATTATCTTATGTATTTGAGTAAACATGATATAAATGGCTTACTCGTGCTTGCGATATTTGCCACGTTTACTTTTTTTAATCGTACCTATTACATATTATTTTCAAGTCTATTTAGTTATCCTCGGTGGTGGTTTCTGTAGGCCATATTTAGAATAGGGTAGATGCCTAATTTTTATTTTAATATCCTTCTGGTAGATAATTTTAAATCATTAGACACGTATTTTTTATTTTCTTACAGAAAGAAATACTTTCGACGATATATTGATTTGAAATGTCGCGTGACGTCACTTCTTTGTACATTTTATACGTAGAAATGATATTTTAAGCCTCACTCCTAAACTTTGATTCGTTTTATCTAAGTATTGTTTTATTAGACGACAAAATAAAAAAAAACGTGTCTAATATTTTTTTATTACCTAACTTACGGACTAATTAGATTTTTAATTTTCATACCCTGTCCTTTTGTCAACTTGGAAAATAGTATTCTCACTTGTAAGAGATTACTATTATTCAGCTATACCCACGGTTCCACTTATATAATAGGATAGGTCTTTGGGAATGTTCATAATCTGTAATAATATATTTGTTTTAACAAAAAGTTAAAGAAATGCTGTCTTACGTGACGTGACGTAAATTAGTTATATTACAATCTGTTATACGATATTAGAGGTCAAACGTTAAGTGGTCGATGCTAAAATGGGTACATATCAGGTATCAACTAATGGACCGACCAAGATAAGCTGACAGCTCTAATAATGACGGACAAAGCTCTTAATACATACATACGATCTACTAGTCTTTGATAATGTGGGCAATACGTCACGGCTCGATGGGAACGGCTCAGCCGAACTAATAGCCGTCATCTATGAAGATTCAGCCAATAAAACATTTTCTTACTTATTTTTTCTGTATCAAAACAATGTATACTTATTTCTGAAGGTTATCATGGACTGGGATTAATAAATAAGTACTTACACGTCTTTTATATCTGAATTTTAAACTAGGTAATTGAATATTTACATAATGTTTCTCTCGTAATTTTTTTATTATTTGGTATATTATTCCTATTTCTGCCGGGCAAGGGGTCTCGGGTTCAATTCCCAGGTCGGGCAAAGTATTGCTGGGTTTTTTCTAAAAATCAGTAGTACCATGGAGTTTAGAACTGTGCCCGATATGTAGCAATAGGCTCACCCCCTATTCCGATCCTGCTCGTAGAAGGCGTCGAGGAGGTAGCCACCTTGACGCTCAAACACGCCGAAATCCCGCCTGCATAAACTTCAGGCGGACTTTGGGGCCACGGGTGCGTAGAGTGGGACTCTAGGTGCCCCCCCTGTGGTCTCAGGGACGACGGTGGCACAGTGGTCACATGCCGCAGTACACAGCAAGGCTTAAAGGAGACACCCGTTTCTCTAGGGATGTGTCGTAACAGGCGTTGCACCGTAGAGGCTCCGGAGCAGGTCTCTTTTAGAGGACCCGGTGCCTCCATTCAGGTGTTGAGGGTGTCCACCGGGGTAGTTTTAGTGAGGTAAAATCCCACACTCCCTAGTCTTTTATCCCCAAAAAGGCTAGGCGCCTTTTGAAGGGTTCCCCCCGTCATCAAAAAAAAAAGGCTCACCCCCTATTACATGAGACTCATAACACAAATATTGAAAAGTGGGTGTTACATTGTACAGTGGCAGTGCCGCGTAATGTGCACCTCAGCCTACTCCTTCAGGGTAAAAAGGCGTGATGATAGTTATTCCTATTTCATTTTACACCTCTTTGTGTTATGGGGACTTAAAATGGAACGTACCTACTTATTTACATTGGAAAAGTGATATGTTTATTATTGTATTTTAATTGGATAAGTATGACTAAGTAGGTGCTTATTAGGATAGGTTTATTAGTTTTTATTAAAAAAATTGGAAATAGGATAATTAATCGATATGTCAGCTTTCCGGGTGGGTACGTTTGTTTATCATCTGAACCCGTTGAAAATTGTTGAAAATCATCCCCTAAATTTGTTCATACAAAAGTAGTCGCTAAACATTGAAAATAAAGTCTATAATGTAGTTAGTGGAGAGCGGTCACCGGTGACCGTTTGGGGATAAAGCCTATGTTGTTTTAAACTGTCAAACACCAAGCGGTCACCGGTGACCGCAACCTATTGTTCTATAATTGTGTCTATAATGACGGTACTCAACGAGTTAATAAGCTCTGCAATACTATTGTTTATTATGTTCTCGAAACATTGACAATAACTTGAAATTCAATAGTTTATCTAATCAAAACTTCTACAGTCAGGTGGTTTGGGCTGCTCTTCATATATTCTAAACTCATCTAGACAAACCACAAGAGAAATAATCGAGGATTTTTTTATTTCTATCACATTACCGCTATGCAATAGAAAACTTTTCCAATTTCGACATGCCTAACTCATACGCTGCATTTCATAAAAAATGCAATCGGTCCCGTCTGTATGCGACGCGACGCGATGGTACACACAGCACGTACCTAAGCATCGCCTGGCATAATTGAATTTTATACAGAAAATACTGGGATAATAATATTTCCAACGCTTTGTTGAGTTCGCTTTATTTTCATCTTTTACAAATACAAAAAATAACATCCAATGAAATAGTAAGAATGAAGGAGTGTATTTTTTATAATAACTATCGTGAGACATACTAAATTAACTAAAGTCGCGGGTAACAGTTGGGTTAAATTGGTCGGTTCGAAACTAGTAGAGCTTTTCTCAGCATATTCACGTGAGTAACCCGCGATTTTAGTTAATGAAGGAGTGTACTTTGAAAAGGACACAGCTTTTACTGAAACCTGGGCCGTTAAATAGTAAATTAGTTAAATAGTAATGGCACCATTCAGTATTGTGACGGTAGTTAGGAAGTGCTGTAGCTCAATAAGCTGAATGACGACAATAATTTTTATGTAGATATTAGTTCATCATATAGTAATTTCTCCGATATTTTCTGTTTATATATAGTAAGTACCTAGGTACTTTGTATAATGGACAAAAACCACATCGACTAGCCAGCGACGTTTCGCACATGATTGGAGGTCGTCCGGCCCACCGGGTTTAATAGATAATTACCTGTTGGCTTTGTCACTGGCTGTACGGGCTTATGGGCACGGTACAGGGTTTCAAAAGCTTTTTAAAACAAAAACATCGATTATTTTACCGTGATATTTATCTACGTAATCGATTAAATCGAATCGTTGACGCTAACGTAAGTAAACGTAGTTCCCTGAAGGTAAATATCCTATTAATAAACGTTAAATATTTACCTTAAGCCGGTAACTTGTTATTATCTATACCGTTTGAGAAAATTCCAGTTTGTGAAGTGTTCAAAATAATTTCATAAATGCCTGGCATAACTTATTCAGGCCTCGATACCTATCTACGGTGTAGTCTAAAAATATTTTTGAAACGTCGATACGAGCAGCATTGATGCCGTTATACTGCTTTACAACCACACTAGATTTATAGAGTTATGATATTTCATTGCAATACGCTCAGTAGTTTATTTAATTTTACCACTATATTTGTTCTGTTAAAGAAAAACGCGTAAATTATTATTATCGGTACTGATTTTGATATCATTGTAAAAATACATTTTGACATCCCATGAGCTCGTGATCTATTTACTCTCTTACGTGATATATGTGCCACTTTTTATTCTGTAGCATAAACACAATTAGATCTTCAATTGTATGTAATGGAAGAGTCTACATAATACAATGCGGCGCTCGTTACCTACTTATAACAACAATAGCACCGTCCGCCATATCGCGCAAAACAACACACGATTCGACGCTTGTGCACCAGTCAGTGAACCTCTGTAGAACAATACACACGTGCGGGTCAACAGCTTCCTCTTCCGCCCAAACCCGTTGACCGTGAATACCTATTATTTTATTAGATTATAATTGTGATTTCTTTATTGTTGCAGGAAGCGTCGCAAAACCCAGATCACGCCGGTCCCTTGAAGCACCACACCCCAAGACTGAAAGCTCACTGCCGTCTTCCAAAGTATCTCCTAAAACTACTTTAAATTTATCTTTTGGAATCAAATCGACTCCACTTAAGTCTTCACCTTCAAATTCTTCTCCCCCAAAGACTTATGACAGGCGTCGAAGTCCTGATTCTGGTTCTAAACCTAGTTGCATTCCTCTTTCCAAGAAACCCTCTGATCGAAATTTGCGGACATCTACATCGCCGGTTAAGCAGGACTTAACCCGAGACACAATATCAAGCAGATCGAAAGCAGAAACGCCCAGAAATAGATCAACTCGCAAAAGTCCAGAAAAAGCCAAGAGTGATACAGAAAACAATCGTATCGATCGAAGACATCGAGCTCAAAAAGATAGTGAAAGTCTTAGCGAAAAATATCATTATTCAAAGAAAAGACTGACTAGTTTAGAAAATAATTCTCCAAGAAAATCGAATGAGAAAAACGTTTCGCCTAAAACTCTTTCGAATGTTACTTCCCGAGCTAACCAAGAACCAAATGTTAATGCTTGTGGACTAGAAAATTCTAAAGTTACGAAGATGTCTACACTTCACGAAACTGTTAGACCACATAGTTCTAGACTTTCTCAGGAGATGGACAGCTTAGCTGCATTGACTAAACAGACATTAGATAGGGTTAACAAATTGTCGAATAACTTAACTAGTAATAAGATAAATTTAGACACACCTGAACCTCGTTTTGACTCCATATTCGCACCGAAATCTGACCTGAGACATAACAATCACGCATACAACTATGGTTTAATTAATCACGAAAGGCCTGTACATAACAGAGGAGTAACTGAAAGGTTAAGAGATATAGACACGGCAGCTCAGAGACTGATTGATTTTGAAAAGCAAAGTGCAATGTTTTCTGATCTCAATAACGATACGTCTAGTCAAAGTCGCCGTCTTGATACGTCATCATCGTCCTGTAGTCATACGCCTGTGTCTATCTTAAAACGGAAATCTATTCACGAAGACAGTGCCGCATCGAATACTACTAATCAAGCCATTGCTTCCCCTCCAGTTACATTTTCACCAAGCGTGGTCGAACCACGAAATGGTCGCTCTGAAAGTCGACAGCGGCAAGGGATACTAAAGAAACGTCGAAGCTTAGATGAGTCGCAAGTAGCTCGAAGACGATCTTGCAGCCCGGAAGTGTCTTTTGCTGAAGATGGTTCTCTAGAAACAAATAAATCCATATTGAAAAATAGGAGATCTTCTCTAGAAGACGTTGTTAGAAATAGATCACCTGATGGCCAAATTCAAGGAATACTTAAAAGAAAAATGAGTCGAGAAGAAGAACTTCACACTGATGATCTGTCTCAAAGTTCGCCTGAGCCTCATGGCATACTAAAACGAAAATCTAATTCTAGTTCTAGTAGCAGTACTGCATCATCCCATGTTTCTATTGCTCAAGCTGTGTTATTAGCAGCAGCGGGTGGTGCAGAAATAGTGGAGGACGATAAAGAAATTGTGAGACCAATATTGAAGAAAAAGAGTTTCTCAGAGGAACGACCATCTCCTGATGTAGTGCTATCCGATACACCCAAGCCCATACTTAAGAAAAAATCGACCGAGTTTGATGATTACGATTTCGACCTGCCTAAAAAGCCGATCTTGAAGTCATCGAAAAAGTTGTCCGGAGACGAAGGACATGCTTCTAGTTTCGATTTGAGCGAAGACGACCGAAGCTCCCGAAGGCCTTCCCTCCTACGTTCCAGGACATCTGATCATTCAGGATCGGAGTGTGAAACAGCAGTGAGACCTATTTTAAAGCAAAGAGGTTCGAGTTTGACTAGGGAACGCAGCCAATCGCCGCGCCCACGGCTCTCTTTTTGCGCGGACAACGATGCGAACATTATTAGTGTGACGAATTTCAGTTGCGACGCGAACGACTTGTCGGCGGCTGGACCGCGACGAGTCTTGAATCTCGCGCCCGCTCCCAACCCGGAAGAGAGCTATCCGAGCGCAGTGCTCCGTCGGAGAAATCTTCGGCCGAAGACAAACCCTCGGTCTAAAAGCCTCGCGTGTGATGTAAATGATGAGTTGTTGTCTATATTGAACAACAGACGACAAAAAGTTGACGAGAATTGTGAAAACGGATTTTGTGAACCCTGGAATAGCGCATTTAACAACGAAACAGGGGACGATACCAAACCTAAATCGTTTCCATCAATTGCTTCCAGAATTAAATCTATGGAGCAAGCACTAACTAAAGACCTTTCCAGAGACCAGCCGTCTACTTCTAAAGCAAGAACTCGTGACAAGGAACGCTACAAAACTCAGCCCATCACAGTGGAAGAGATGCGGTCGATAACATCCAGGTAAAACTAATTTTATTTTTAATTTTAACGTCTTTTACTTTTAAACACGGAATGTATTTAGATCACACTAGATTTGAAAGTCATTGCATCTGTCGTGACTCGTCCCACACAATGTGCAATTACTTGTTGATATTATTGTTTGTTGTGATAGCATTTTAAATGTGTTATGATTTACCGTCTTTTTCTCTGTCATCTTGACTTGATAATTGATAAATGTTCATGTTCTGTTTATACTGCATCGTCTGTTTTCTTAGTATCTGACATCCTTAAATATGACTTTCTTTACAAAGGTGATTGTGCTGCGACCGGTGTTCAAATCTAAAAGTTGGCTCGTCGCCATTATTTTGATGGGTGAGCGGCCCACGCTACACGTGGGCTGTTCATCGAATGTTTTGTTCCGAACTATACATTGCGCTGTCCAGATGGTTAGTTAGTCATCCACATGTTTTTATTTTCTTATTCGTATTCGCATTATCATTTTCTGCTACCATAATATGAAGCAATCACTCAAGAGCAATAGAGTTTTTATATGAATTGTAGTTAATGAAGTCGAGTTAATAAAAAGTTTCATTTTGGAACCTTGAGATTGGTTCATAGAAGCTTTGTCTCTATATAGATACATAGTCTGAGGAGGAACTTAATTTAAATTAAAACAGATCTGCTAACTTCTTTAGGTTCGCCTTATTAACGGAGTTCCAAGTCTTTGAAGGCTAATCCCTTGCTTCTAATGAGAATTCTAGACGAGGTTTTCGTAATTAACTACTTTATGAAAACCTTGCACAAACCGTGTGTTAATTTGTGTTTTTCGATGTTCTGACATCATTCCCATTCCCTCAGTTGTTGTTTGGTTCACACTGGCAGTGAATAGCGTAAGAATTAAATTTGGACTCTGCAGATACGTTAAATTGTTTGGAAATTGTTTTTGTACTATTTCCTGTGTGAATTCTTTGCAAGCATGCATCGTTTAATTTGGGATTGTTCGCTTACAGAACTGTGAGTAGACTGTTATTAAACTGGATGATTAAAGTATTTTCTGAGAGCACTGTTTAACATTAATTGTTATTTCATTTTCAATAAAATATTTTAAAATGTGTTGTGGTCTGCATAATGTATCTTACTTTCTCCTGGCCTGTTCTTGATTTAAGGGTCGGCAGTTCAGTATCGAGTCTTAATCAAATTCTATTGAATGTTAGTATTTTATTTTAATGTCAGCATTGTAAATACACTTTGTATTTGAATTAATGTTTGAAACTGCCAGAGATCCATACTTTAATGTATATTTATTATGAAAGTCATAAATAAGAAAACATACAAGTCCGTATGTATAGTAGCCCTTGATTGTTGTCACTTATCAAAATATCTTTTTATAGTGTTGGCATTACCTACTTAACAAATGCTACCGCATTATTCATCCTAGCGACTTGGCGTTGTCTCGCAGATGTATAATAAGGATAAATCCAAATCTGCCCACTGTCGTTGCGAACTGATTTACCTTCATTGTAGTATTGCATTGACTGTACTGCTTCAACAAAATCTGTAGGATTTGTTTTAGTTTGCGCTAATTGATTGTAATTAATATTGGTTCGACATAGTGCTAATACATTCGCTGGCGCTGTCTTGATGACGGAAATAAGCGCTCCAGTCGTTAGTGGGTCAAGCACTATTTCTGGCTCTGTTGTGCTTCAAAGCACGCATCAAGAGTTTTATGACCGATCCGGCTGTGCGCTTAACTCCGTACTCCCTTAATGCTTATCCATTGAAATGCAGCTATCGTCCGACGTGATCTCCATTATAAACTGCAGCATGTCACTCGTCTAGAAAGTATATTCTGTGAAATTATCCAAACCTTCTCTATTTTGAAGGCGAGTAGTCAAGAACTGTATAAGAAATGAAATATGTTAAAGTAAATATTGTAGTACTATCAGCACTACGAAAAAAAAAAAACACTACAAAATTATGACCGTCTGCTATTCGGCAGTAAATCGTTTATAGATCGAACCTCGATCGATAACGTTCAAATCGAGATCAGACATTTATATTTAGCTTATATTGCTGATGGTGTCAAACTTCCCTAAAACGATAGATCGGCGACGCCGATCCAATCACTCACACCATAATTCATCGAAATTTATGAAGGCGAGCTGAAACAGCGACCGTCTCTTTCTTATGTACGGGTGCGTTCTACTTTAAAATGTTTCTTTTCTCATTTCGCAGTTTGGAACCGGGCCAAGCGCGTTTCCCAGCGTTCGGCCCCGCGGGCTGTAGTTTTCCGAGCCGACCCGTCGAGTCCGGTATTGCTCCCTCTATCAGGGGCCCTTATCCCCTACCAGGGGAACCCGAACCAGATCCCTTCGCAGACTTCGCACAGGCATTGGATTCACCACCCTACGGCGTAATCTCGTTCAATGCCAAGTCTCCTACTACAGCCAATGGGTTTTCCGATGGTGGCAGTAACAAGGACGACAGCTACGGTGAAGCAACATTTCTAGACTTCGAAAACATTGACGTGAATTCTGAAAGGAAACAGTCAACGTTAGATGAAATTGAACAAGAAGTGGACAAAGTGCGCGTGGCGTTAGACGAGGACAGTCGCGCTCTAGAAGAAGACGAAAGGCACCAAGCCGAGGCTGACAACTGGAGCTTGAATGTGTCGTGTGACAGTGGAGTGTATAACCGTGCTTCCTCCAGAGATTCCGGTCCACATTCCGGTAAGTCTTTCTCTGAAATTCACTAATAACGTTGGGCAGTTGGTTAGTTTATTAAACTCGTAAACTTATTTTTATCGGAACGAGTGTGCAGAGCGCTATAGTGTAAAACATCGTTAGGCTCATTTAGTGTGTCCAATAGTGACAAGTGTCAGTGTCATAAAGTACCCATATGAAAGCGATCAGTTGTGTCCGGCCGGCGTTAACTTGCGGTTTGTTTACGTTCTGTTTGGTAAAATTAGATTTTACCGAATGCGCCGCTATTCGTATTAGGTCGGTTTTGAAAATAAACACAGTATAACCTTGCAGATGTCTCTCGGCCCACTTATTTGGGTCAATGTAATGCACGTGTTCTTTGTCAAACGTCATTGCATTACTTGAAGGTAGATTAATCGGTTATTAAGCGATTTCTGTCGTTTTTTTGCCTAATTCTTTATTGACATTGAAATATGACCGAATGAAAAACGGTTTACTAAAAACTTTACACTTTTGATAGCCTGCTCTTGATGTTTGGTCGAAATATTTCCTATCTGTAATATTAATTCTCAATATTCCAGGCGAGGAGCTTGGTTTGATTGAAAGCCAAGAGATCAGGGACAATCACGCAACAAACAGCAGTAGCAACGAGTGGTCTTCTTCGTCTATCGAGCGTGGTCTTCTCACCATGGATCGTGAGAGGAAGTCCACCGAAAACGAGGCTCTGAGGAGTCCTGAAGAAGCAGGCAGCGATGATGAGAACAGGGAACCTAGTGGATTTGCTCTCGGTCTGGTCAAGAGCAACAGTGTGGTGGCTCGGGCCAGCATGTGGCAACAGCTGCAACAGCAGGCTAAAGGTAATTATTTACGTTCGTTTAACCATTACAAAAATCGTAAAACAGATGTTCTTAAAAGCAAACTCAATTTAATATTCATTTTAATTCACAACTTCAGGACGTACGACATGACTGCTATGAATATTCGAATAGCATTTATAAATGTGTATTTAGTAATCAAGAAATCTGGATGATTCTTGAACTTCATGAGTCACACATAAATGTGTTTATTACATAAGTGAACATGTATGTTCCAGGCACTCCGAAACCTCTGCTCCGTCACAGTCGCTCCAAGTTGAAGGAGGGACCTTCCGTGGTGGACAGGTTCAAAAGCCAGCCCATATCCTTCCCAGCGCCCGTGGTGAGCCCGAATGAGTCTACCGAGGAACAAGCACTCCCCCTGCCTCAATCCAAAAGTACTGCCAACGTGCTCGACAGGGACGAAGATGGTAAGTCTACAACCGTAACGATACACTAGCTTTGCAGTTCAATAGAAACTGTAAATGTATCTTTGAGTTTTGTCCTTTTCGTTAAATTATCAATATTTTTTTTTTTTTTAAAGCAAACAGTAATTGATCGCGATCAAAGGCATGTAAATTTTGCAATACAGTCAAAACATTCGCTTTCTGTCTTATGTATCGTCGGCTTTTGTTTCTTTTTTGCATGTCCTCGACTACTCTACTATGTGTATGTCCCGGGCTCTATCGTAAACACAACTGCACAATGTTATGTAAATACGCACACACTCACCGGTGGCAGCTAAGTTAGACGAAGACGACCCGGCGAAGATGTCCCTGTCGGAGAAGATGAAGATGTTTAACTCGAAGCTGACGCACAAGCCGCCGGTGGCGGGCGCGGGCGGGGCGCGGGCGCGGGCCGGCCGGCTGCGCACCATGCCGGTGCTCGCCAGCCAGCTGCAGCAGGCCCTGGACCAGAACGAGCGCCTCACGAAGTCGCTCACTCACGACGATGTGCCCCGTAATAACGATTTTCAATTGAAAATGGAGCTGTTCCGTTCGGCCAGCGCCAAGAACACGTCTTTAGAGTATATTATGAGGCAGAACGCCAAGTTTAGGAGCTTAGGTCTGATTTGTTCATTATTTTGAGTTTGACTTTGTCGTTTGCTTGAACAGTTTCGCTTCTGTGGGCTCGATCGGTACTAATACCATCGGTGTAATATTGTAGTCGTAAGTTCTGTATACTCAGTGCATGCTGTTTAACTTTTGCACGATTTAATCGCACGTTTTGTTGTATTAATTATTTTAACATGTTAGGTTTATACAATGCTGGTGTTGTGTAGTTTGTCATAATATATTCGTTGTTTGGTCGAGTTCTTTTGTTGTTTTATGACGTCTGACATTGCGGAGTTATTTTGTAAGAAACACGTGGATAACGTTGCGAGGCTTGAGTAACAATTAAACTGAGTGCATGCACCGCTGAACGTGTTCCGAATAATCGTCACGTTCACTGAGATTTTGACATTAATCGTGATATTTAACAGACCACTGTGTTATATTCTGAGCTCAATAATCCACTTAGTCATTGGCTTATTCGATATTACTCAGCAGTTATTCATATTGTATATCTCACACGAATATCGTTGATATGACGGTGTGTAGTCGTCAACTAGTCATGGAGAGCTGTCAGAACCCATGAGGTCGCTTTCTTAAGGTCGCGACACAGATGCGTAGGTGGGGACGGGATGGGATAGCCAATTTTATTTTAGTCATTGTGTAATAACAGTAGAAAAATGTTACATTGTTTTGATTTTTACTAAGAACCTTCTCTTTGAAGTATTTTAAGGTGTGCAGACCATGAAATATTGGACAGATCTATTCGATTTTTATGCTGTTTTGATTAACTACTATTATGATTATGTTTTTATAGTATTTATTGGAATTTAACATATCTATTTTATTGAGAGATTAAACAACTACCGTCCTTGGCTTCACTAATCCTCTATCTATGTATCTGACGCTTTGTATATACAGGGGGCGTAAAATTTACGTATTACAGTTTTTAAGTTAAATTGTCATGTTTCAGATTTGGATGACGATTCTCCATCGGAGCGGGCTCAGCGCATGATAACGCCCGAAGTTAGGGGCATTCTTAAATCCGGCTCAACTGTTGTGCCTTCCAGGCCCAAGACCTTAGCCAAGGGAGAGAGCTCAGAGGTTTGTACAGTTAGTATACCCATTGCTTTTTTTGACACCTAATTACATGTCACTGTCATGCAACACTTTTGCATATCACTCTGTAGTTGACTAATGGTTAATTTATTCCTCTTTGATTGCCTTCTTGGCCGAGTGGTCGCAAGTGCGACTGCCGGGCAAGGAGTCTCGGTATCGATTCCCTGGTCAGGCAAAGTACTACTAGAATTAAAAAAAAAATCTCAGTAGTAGCAAGGAATTGTGCTCGATATATGGCAATAGACTCACCCCCTGTTACATGGGACTCATTACAAATAGTGAAAAGTAGGTACATTTACATTGTACAGTTGCATTAAGCGTCGTAATGTCCACTTCTGCCTACTCCTTCGGGGATAAAAGGCGTGATTTTATGTTTAATGTTATTGCTCTTTGTACAATGCTTACATATTTTTTTAATAATCCTGACATGGACCCAAGTTCTCTGTTCTGTTTTGTTATACTAATGAACAAACTATATTAAAACTACATAACTATATATTAAATCCCAACATAACTTTATATTTAAAACCTCCATTTCACAACGTCCTAATTTTGAAGCCATTAAAAAAATATATGGGCTCGAACGATATTGATATGAACTAAAATAGACCAATGTGCCTACATACATTAACTATAGTCAGTAAATATAGTTTCGTATGTATGTTCGTAAGAATCTGTGCGTAAATCTGTTGGTATGCATCGCTTACTATTTTGGCTCACGCTTGTATTGTTTTCAAAGGAAACATGAATGGAGATTTAAATATTCAGTTGGGTTTGTCAAAATTTAGATGCATTTGACTATACTAGTGCGTACTGAGAACTGGAAAAATATATCAATACTGTGCCCGTAGCCAAACGCCACTTTAGCGCTCGTCTACAGAGAGAGTAGAAAACTAAATGTATGAGGATGACACTGACAAGTGTCAAAATTTACGTCAATCCCATATAATTTGGTTTTCTATTCTACATGTGGACAAGCGCTAAATGGCATTTGGCTACAGCTGCTGGTGTTGGTAATAGGATTATTTGCAATAATAAAACTCTTTTTGTAAAATGGTCGCAAGCGCAAGCAAGACTAATGTAAGCATTAGTGGAGTGCGTAAGCAAGAATTGTACATTATTTTTGTATATATCCTAGAGTTGACAATACAATCTTTGTAAATAATGCATCGAAACATAAGAGGAATAACTAATCATGTTTTTAAAGTAACATGTATTACTTTGATGTAACCGAGGTCCTTCATTTTATCATTCTTAACTCGTCGAGTACCGCCATTATAGACACAATTATAGAAAAATAGGTTGCGGACACCGGTGACCGCTTGGTGTTTGACAGTTTAAATTCAGTGCATCTGCGTACACTACTTCCCATATAAACTTGTAATTATTGACTCGTGGGTGGCAGACTGCCTCGTTGGCCGAGTGTTTGCAAATCTGACTACCGGGCAAGGGGTCTCGGGTTCGATTCCCGGGTCGGGCAAAGTATTACTGTTTGATTAAAAATTCTCAGCACGGAGTTTGGAATTGTGCCCGGTATATGCCATTATGCTCAGCCACTATTACATGAGACTTATAATATAAATAGTGAAAAGTGGGTGTTACATTTTACAGTGGCATTTAGTGCATTAATGTGCATCTCTGTCGACCCCTTCGAGGATTTTATGTTATGTCTGATTATAGTATGTGATTGCTTCTAACCATGTGGCAGAATCATAATTATGATTGCTATTATGGTACTTGTATTATGGCACTAATAAAGATGCATTCAGTATTAGTCATCTTGATTATATAACGGGGATTTATGTGTATTGATAGCTAGGTCAGTTACTTTGATGACATTGTCAATCACAACTCCGGATGTTCTGAATATTGGCACGACTAACGGTATTTGTAGTGTATAGAGAACTTACTAGATGAATCAAATACATATCACACATAACAATATAACCTATAATATGAATGTAATAATAACAAAAGGGAACTATGCAAACGTACTAATTCACTAACATATTACAATAAGACCCTTTCTTTATAGAATTTTTTGGCTAGTTCTAGATATTTTGCCACTTTAATTTGCATTTTAATGATAAAACAATGCAATATTACAAACCTTAATTGAATACTTTTGAAATGTATTAAATAGCTATTATTATTGTTACAGGGCCTCAAAGACGAAGGCATCGACAGTTCCTCGGACGAAGATTCGGTATCTACAAGCGTATCATCATCGGAGAAAAGCTGTTCATCATCAGACAGCTCCGACGAGCTCCCAGACCCAAAACCTAGAAGATTCCAACGCAAACCGAACAAACTGAAGTCTTCTAGAACAGAATCAGATATACCAAGACATCCAGAAGCATTCCCCTGTAAAATAAAGCTACCAGGAGCGAATGAATTAAAGGAGAGGTTGACGCAAGCCAAAAACCCTGATGTTAAAATCCCAATGCTGGGTAAACTTGGCAGGAAACCCTCAGAAGAAGCGAAGAAGGAAGACGACCAGACCCGATACAGAAGATTCGTCAAGAAGATTGATGAGCCTATTCAACTAGGCAAGTTGAGAAGGCCGGCGGAGAAGGTGCCGCCTCCAGCCCAAGAAGTTCCACCTCCAGTGCTTAAGATATCTGCGTTGAACCAGGCTGCTAAGAACAAGTTCTTCGGTCTGGACCCTGTGAAGAAAGAGAAAAGTATTGATGAGCTAACAGCAGCCGTCAGAAAATACATTCCACCTGTAAGTATTCTTGCACATTTTTATTTCGTTGTCTAGTGAATTTATAGAAACTTGAAATAAATATATCTTCGTTAATCAACAATTAACGGCACTGGAAATTCCTACTGAACAATGACCTCTTCTGCAACAGTGGGTTTACTTTATGCAGAAATTAGAAAACACTGTTGTGCAGGTCTCGGTCAAATGTTTCTCGTAGTTAGCTTTCACGACAAGCAGCGAAAGAGTAGGAATTCTAAGGAGTAGTAATTTTATTATATTGTTTTTTTATGACTTATCCTGACGGTAAGCAATCGGCGTCGCCCATGGACACCTGGAACACCAAAGGCGTTACAAGTGCGTTACCGGCCTTTTGGTGATTAGGAATTTGAGGGTTGTTGGAGATTCAGGTAACCTCACTCACACGACGTAACTTATTCATAGTTAGTAAGGCCGTGGTATCACACCGGTCGAGCCGGCCTATTCGTGCCGAAGCATGGCTCTCCCACAGTTATATTATACATACGTATTATCAGTGACATATATTATAAAGTCTTAATAAAATTTTTGTAATCAGTAATCCTAACTATACATTCTCCGTATAGGTAAGCAAATCAGTGTCATCCCACACGATGGAGATCCCAGGCTCGGGCAGCGACGGGGAGAGCAGCGGCGGCAGAGAGGTGCGGCACATCAACACCAGGGGGCGACACAGGTCTGTACCGCGTTGTTACTTCATTCTCGATATTGAACTTTACCGTGTAACTTGAGCTCGTAACTATATTCGCGAGTGTTATAAATTATGTAAATACATGCGTCAATTGTTTGGGGTAGTTGATCAGTAACGCGACAATTTATTTTTGATTCTAAACTGGAAATTCGTTCACGTATTTAGATCCAGTCAGGCATCTCTTTGCTACATCCTATTATAGACCTTGTGAGCACAAACTTTGGTCACAATATAAAGGTTAACATTACAAACTGCGCAATAATATAGAAACTTAAATTCGTCAAAAATTAGTTATTTATGCGAAAATACATAGATACATACATAACTTCACGCCTGTCTTCCATAGGGGTAGACAGAGACTATGGAACGCCAATTACTACGATTCCTACATACCTCTTTCGCTTCATCAACAGTCATCAATCTTTTAATGCATGCTCGTCGGTTAAGGGTGCTTTTATATGCGATAATATCTATTACTAGCAGCCCGTCCCGGCTTCGCACTGGGTAGACAATTATTTATTTTTGGAAATTTGGATTGTAATAGGGACATAACTAAACTAGTTGGACATATGCTACCGCGGAGTTTTTTGTAGACATTATGATGTTCTTTAATATTGTTATACATTATTTTGTTCTATCGCTAATAGTTTAGGCAGCGCATTCGAAAAGACATTTTAAGACTAATTTTTCTACACCTTCGGTTACATTGTTCAAATTTTACCAAGGATCTCTAATTTTCTTCAAAATGAAATGTAACCTGTGTCAAATTGGAAGAATGTAGCATTCTATTGGTGAAAGATCTTTTTAAATCTGCCCAGTACCTACTTTTTAGCCTATTCATTACAAACATACAAAAAGATTTGTATCTTTCCTCTTTATAATATTAGTGTAGATTTAATTGAAATGTTAGTGATTTATAAAAACAAATACCGCAAAAGCAGAACCAACATAATAATTGTTGGCTCAACTATTGAAATTTTCGCGCAGTTTCCGAAAAAGGGACAATTTCGCATCCTGGAGTTCATTTCGAGAAGGAGGACGGGATTCGTAATTGTAAAAGGCACAGTCCCGTCCAAAACGGGACCTGGATCAGAACACAGACCTTAAAGAATTCGAAATTAAAAAATACAAAAGTAAAAGTCCCCGTAATTTTTTAATTAGATTTAATAAACATGAAAGTATAAAAATGATAGAACAGATTAGATTAAACATAGAATTATAACAGATAAACAATCTCACTTATAATAAAATTATAATGTCTTAGTTTTTTTCAAATTCAAATTCAAATCGTTTATTGCGAATATAGGTCAAGTGTAGATGTTACAGTAATTATTGTAAAATAATTTGATCAGCTACATTCTACATTACTTGTTCGCTACAATGCGCTAACATACATTTATTAGGTAGGTATCTGAGAACGCTTAATAATAGTTATTCATGCTTGGCCCTCTGATCATATTTCGTTAAGGAAAAATTTTGGTATACAATGGCAAATGAATCCGAGCGATACAAACTGCAATATGAATAACTTCTCACACGATATTATGTTAAATGATATAGAATGATATCGTATTATGATACGTGTGGTATATAAATACTGGTTTGTTATTACTTTCTTAGGTGCATGTTCCCTTGTAACTGTATACTAGATTACAATATTTCTATATTTTATATTTAAATAGATAAATAGAAGTTAAAAATTTTGTAAAAGTAAAGTAAAAAAAAAAATAGAAGTTAAAAATTTTGTAAATAAAATATAAAAAAAAATTTAGGGGTGGACTACCCCTAACATTTAGGGGGATGAAAGATAGATGTTGGCCGATTCTCATAGATACCGGATAAGCACAAAAAATTTCATCAAAATCGGTCAAGCCGTTTCGGAGGAGTATGGCAACGAAAACTGTGACACGAGAATTTTATATATTAGATAATATTAAAAGCAAGAATACAATATGACATTAAAAATCTCACACCTGGATCTATATATTACTTGGGGTTTTTAACGAAAGTTAAAGTTATCGTCATCGTCCTCAGCCAACAAGGTAGATAGATTGGCGATTTCAAACAAATATCCTCAGGATGTTTTCCTTTAACTTATATCAACTGTCCAAATAATCTCCAAAAAAAGACAGCATAATACATAACACGCCTTTTTCTCCTCGAAGGGGTAGGCAGAGGTGCACATTGCGGCACTTAGTGCCACTGTACAATGTAACACCCACTTTTTCACTATTTATGTTAAGAGTCCCATGTAATAGAGGGTGAACCTATTGCCATATACTGGGCACAATTCCAGACTCCGTGCTACTACTGAGATTTTTAAAAACCCAATAATACTTTGCCCGACCCGGGAATCGAACCCGAGACCCCTTGCCCGGCAGTCGCACTTGCGACCACTCGGCCAATGAGGCAGTCAGTACATCATAATATATTCAAAAAAATCTTAAGATGTTCATCAGAATCCTCGGTTCGTCAGTATCCTTTAAGTAGTTCGAAGGTGAACATTAATTCAAGGCACTAAGATCATTTTTTCTACATCAAAAACTTACAGCAATTTCACACAAGAAATACAACAAAACAAAATATTACATAAAGCATTTGTTCTCCATACATAATAATGAGATGGTAGACAAGTCTAACATAATTATATGTTTGTGGTTTTGCAGTGTATATTACACATTAATTATAATTACGTATGATAATTACCTTTGTGCCATCTGTTGCGTATCAAGGTCGTGGAATTTTGCAAAGATATTTATATATTTATAAAATAACTATCGTGAGACATACTAAATTAACTAAAAGTCGCAGGTTACTCACGTGAGTATACTGAGAAAAGCTCTACTAGTTTCGAACCACAGAGGGGTCCTTCCTCATGAGCAGAGTGCGCTGTCGCAGCGATGTCGCGCAGTCTACTGAAACTAGTAGAGCTTTTCTCAGTATAGTCACGAGAGTAACTCACGAATTTTAGTTAAGATTTTTAAATGTTGTGATGAAATTTGTACAAATATATAAAACTAATAACACACAACATATATTTGTGTTTTTTAAATAATTATTTTTACCCACAGTATGGTTTGTATTATCTTCTGTCTTGTAGGTGCGTTAAATTTCACTTACGTATCCACTAATTGTTACACAAAGATTTTTTCGGGGGGAATAGAACCTACACGGTGACGCGTTGGGTAGCAGTCTGTTCTTTAGCACAGCGTCAACGGTGCATTCAATACTTCATTCTTATATTTTTTAAGGAATCTTAAAACCAATACACACATACATAAAACCTAAATAAATACATGTGTAATAATATAAATACTTACTTTAATAATTACATATTAGTCGTGGTGGCCCGGAGGTTTAAGACTCCTACTTCTCATGCATGAGGGTGCGGCTTCGAAACCTACCAACGGCAAGTACCAATGTGACTTTTTCCGAGTTATATGTACTTTCTAAGATTATTTAGACACCACTGACAAACGGTGAAGGAAAAACATCGTGAGGAAACCTGGACTTATAATTTCTAATTATAAGTTTGAAATCGCCAACTCGCATTGAGCAAGCGTGGTGATTAACGCTCTAACCTTCTCCGTGTGAGAAGAGGCTTTGCTCAGCAGTGGGCATTTATAGGCTGTTGATGATGACTTTAACAATTACATAACCAACTACAGATATTTATACAACAACATCAACAACATAACATCACGCCTTTTATCCCCGAGGGGGGTAGGCAGAGGTGCACATTACGGCACTTAATGCCACTGTACAATGTAATACCCACCTTTCAGTATTTATGTTATGAATCCCATGTTATATGGAGTGGGCCTATCCTATTTTCATATACCGGGCACAATTCCAGACTCCGTGCTACTACTGAGATTTTGTTTAAAAACTCAGTAGTAACAGAATTTATAAATAAGATATTTCAATCTCCCATGTGGTCGGTCTCGTCTCCGATTTAATGACTATCTTGATTGCTTTCATTTAGAAGTAACGCAACTAGACGAGCGCCTGCCGACAGTCCACGTTTGAGTATTAATAAAGATAATGCACACACATTGAACATTATACATGCGCATCATTTATACTGACACTGAATTGATCTAATCAATTTTGTTCTTTTAAAAGTGGTTCCAAGTACGTGCTTCTCCTATGTCGCTATATGCGTTTACTAGCATAAAAATTCAAGTTCATATCACACCTAGACGCGAAACAACATTTTGTGAATTACACAAAGAGATGTAAGGTGTTCCCGTAGGAATCAAACTCACTTAAAACCATAGACATAAATACACTGCCACTTTTCATACAATAAATCTTGAAAACAGATTAAACTGTCAAACACCAAGCGGTCACCGGTGACCGCAACCTATTGTTCTTTAATTGTGTCTATAATGACAGTAATCGACGAGTTAAAGTTTTATAGATACAACTAAGTGGCATGTGGTTGCGCTATACAGCTTATAAATACTCTGAAGGGCGATAATGCAACAGGAACCGGTTGGTTCGATTCCGGCTCAGTTGAAGCCGCTTAGATTAGATTGGAGTTTCGTACTTTATGTTATAAAGTTACTGAGCTTGTTTATTTGTTTTAACCGAAGATACTAGAAAAAATATTTGTTTCATCTATCATAGTATATTAACCTATGAAATCTATGCATGTTGTGTTGATTTTTTTCTATATATAATCTATTTCTTTGACCATGGTAACTGATTTATAAGACAATAGTAGTAATTTATAATTTATTTGTATAAGACAAAAAAGAGCTTCCAAAACTAAATACCAACCAAGACCTCCTATTTAAAATCTCAATAGTATTCCATGTGAGAATACTATTGAAACAACAAATAAATAAATTCAATATCCACATCAACATAGACGGACATATACAGACCTGAGCACTTACTCTTGAAACCAATATCAATGTTAATTCAATTTCACTCCAATAAAATCTCAATAATTATTTGATGTCAAAACTATACAACCC